TTAAAGAACGCGCAAATTTTGATTATATTGTTTTGTTTGATGAAGATACTTATGAAAATAATCTAAAACCTGGACATTGTTTAATGGGTTTAAAACAAGCTATATTTTCAGTAAATCATATTTTTAGTTCATTTCGTTTTATTAATTGAATATTCTTATAGTTTGATCGAGATATCAAACTTAAACATGAACCATTAATTCTTGATGGTGGTTACGAAGATTGGATGATATATTATCCAGGCGAGAGTACAGCACCATTAAATTCGAAAAAAAATATTGGAGAAATTCGATCATTTGGTTAGATAGCAGATTTTATTAATTATTATTCATAGTTTTTGTGTTCAAGAGGTTTCCTATCCGGATGATGTGTACATACCTGAAGAAGTATTAAGTGATGCAGCAACTGCTGTTCAACCTGAAGCAGCAATCATTCCACCAGCCATTGCTCCACAAGTTGATCGAACACGAAAGCCTATTAATAATCAAAAACCTGAATCATCAGTTATCGAACAACAAGAATTACCAATTAAACCAGTAAGAATTAGATGCTTTATCATTTATTTTGATGAATTGTTTGTTTTTCTTATTATAGGTAGAAGAAGAACAACCAACACCAACACCAGCACCAGTACCGCCAGTAGTAGTAACGAAAGAACAACCTGAAATTCCAGATCGATCAATCAAACCAGTACCACCGCCACCATCAGAGTGAGTTCTAATAGAAAACGTTTTAAGGATAGTTTCTCGGAGATAGATACTTGCTGACATAATATAAATAAGAATAAAAAATTCCATATTATTGACGGTATTTATAAACGATTTTTATTGATTTTATTCATTGTTTTTTTGCCTTAATTCTATCTAGGGATGTAAGCTGATGCATTCATTGGCAATAGCAGTTTCAAAGTCTTCAATACATCTTTTAAAAATTTTTCTGATTCTGTTGAGTTTCAAAATGAAAGATGAAGAAAATGGTATTAGAGAGCGTATTAATAAGAAAACAACGAGTGGTTAGAATTTTAGTAATAAGACTTTCATTAATAGGACATTCACCAATGGCAAGACTTGAGAGGATGTGTTGGCAAAAGTAGGATCATCTTTCGCAAACTGTCACAAAACAATATTAACGTAGGATACATGTAAGGGTTGAAACCAATATTGTTGAAGTATAAATATGGTAGCATACACTTACAGTATATTTGAATAGAAAAAAAAAGCGAGATTAATATTAAGAAAAAAACAAATGAGCACAGCATAATGCTCATTTGATGATGAACCCGATTAGTTCGATTTGGAAACATCATTCTTGTTTTGCTTTTCTTTTCCTCCACGACAAATAGATTCGTCAAAAAGATGAGCAAAAGACTTGATTGTATCAGTTATGGTCCTATTTTGGATGCAAGTTAAAAAGTGACTCACAGCTACAGGCATACTCTGAGTTTTGTTGCTTATTTTGTTCTCTCAGTGATTTCAAATCTTGATGCAACAGTGAGAATTGTGACAAGCATCAATTGAACAATTATTATCTGAAGTGAAATATAAAATTTACAGCTATGACATAGACGAACATAATCTATCACATGTTGCAAATAGAAATTTTTGTAATTCATATGTAATTCATAGTCAAATTGGCGTAATTCGGAAATCTCGCTGCTAGACAATAACAATCTCTGAAAACAAGCATCTCTATATATAATTCATTTATCTTTAATATATACGACGTTCATTTTTTAAAATCTTAATCGGCTTACATCAATTTTTTATTTTAGACCTTCTTCATCAATAAGTGAACAACTGCCCATTACTCCAGTTGTGCCAGATATCCCATTACGTCCTTCATCGGCCACACCAATAGTTTCGAATACTAATATTACTCCTGAAATCTCAAAACATCCAAAACCACTTGATACAAATGAAAATAAAAATGATTTGAATAGAGAAAATATTCCACCAAAAGATACTTCAAAATTTCCTATACCAAATCGTGAAACACTTCCCATCTATCGTCCATTCAATCGAACTGTACCAATTAATAATACAAATGATCAATATAAAAAGAAATTTGATGCTGTCACGGGTCGGTATGTTGAAATTTTTATTCAAGTATTCATTTTTTATTGTCTCTCTTTTTTTTTTATTAGTAAAATAATTCTCGATACTAAAAATAATCGATACGTAACAGATATTCCAGAAATTGAAACAAGTAAAAGTTCTAATCAGATAACACCAACAATCAATCGTGAAGCTAAACCAATATTAACTGAACAAACACGTCATCAAATAGCATATGATTATCGTGCAATATCTGATAATTTACAAATAAATTATCGTACTGGTTTAAAAAATCTAGGAAATTCATGTTATATGAATTCAATAATTCAATCTTTAAGTTTTAATTTCATATTAACAAATTACTTTTTAAAAGGTGATTTTATTAAAGATATAAATACAAAGAATAAATTTGGTTCAGGTGGATTAGTTGTTAAAGAATGGTTTAAATTAATTTATTTATTATGGTGTCAACAATATTCATATCTTGCACCACAACCATTTAAATATATTGTTGGAACACTTCAACATGCTTATTTAGGTACACAACAACAAGATGCACATGAATTTCTTGTTTTTTTACTTGATTCATTGCATGAAGATCTTAATCAAGTATGAGAACGAAAACTGTCAATGAAAAATAAATTTGAAAAACATGATTTTTTTCTTATATATTATTTTCATAGGCTACTCGTCCACGTATTGAAGAACTCAAATCAGAAAATTATAAAAATGATCGACAATTAGCTGAAGCAAGCAAACAAGCATTTCTTTCACATAATAAATCAATAATAATTGATCTTTTCTATGGTTTATTTAAATCGACAACAATATGTTTATCATGTTCATATCATTCTATTCGTTTTGATGCATTTGCAATAATAAGTGTACCTATTCCACCTATTCGACAATGTTCATTGGATGATTGTTTAGATTTATTTCGAGAATTTGAAAATTTAACAGGTGAAGAACGTTATGAATGTTCAAATTGTAAACGTTTATCAGCAAAAAAACGACGTCTAGATATTTGGGAATTACCAAAAATATTTATTGTGCATTTTAAACGGTAATAATAACTAATATTAAACGATTCTAAGAAAGCTTCTTTTCTTCTAACAAAGTTTTAAATATTTTTCGATATTTTTTTTCTTCTTATAGCATATGATAGAAAGACAAAAGCTCACGACTTTATTAGTATGTGTCACAATGTTTCTTTCTCAAAGAATTGATTGCAATATTGTATATAAATAGCATAAAGATTGAATTAACTATATATGGGCGAAATTGAAAACTAAAGCTGATTTTTTAAACATATTTAAGAATACCTTGCGCTAGATTGAAAAACTAGTAGAATAGTTGCAACTTTTGAAAAAAACTTTATCAGTTCAAATTCTAAAGATCTTTGTTGAATTCTTTGATTTAATTTAAAGGAATATTTACTCGTAAGATTAGATGATTCTTCGAAATAACAGCTGATCGCAACGTAATTCAACAAACTATACATTTATTGTTCAGTTTCTTGAATGAGCTTATAGAAATTTGACAACCATGAATTTGAATCTAAGTTTTGCATTGTTTCTAAATGTAGATTCAACATTTCTCTTGATTCTACGTTTAGGAGTTATGAGTCGACTTTTTAGACGCGCGAAAATTGAATTTGAACGCAGAAAATTGGCATTTTTAAGGCAATATTTTTCTTTACTGCATATATTATATTTCCGATATTCTTGCATTGAATTTAAGGCACAATTGGTTTCTATAGAGTGATATAAGAATCAGAAATTTCAAAGCAATTATGCCGAAATGGCTGCGCTTTCTTTGTACGTCTGTTTGCCATAGAAATTCGCCTGAATTAGTACAGTGTCTCTTTCCAAATTTCTCGCTATTGACACATGAATCACAGTAAACTAAGCACTAGTGTACCATATTAAGGAGAAATGTTTGCTTTGTCATTTATTGTATATGAAATAATTTACATTTCTACATTGGTAAGTGTCGGCGCACTGAAGTTTGTGCAAACTCAATAATTTATGGATCTTAAAAATATCAAATCATAACTTGAAAGAAGACAAAATTCTGATTCTAAACCAATGTTTTCAAATTTCTGCATATTTAAATACTAACGAGATTGGTTTTTATCCATGATTGTTACTGTTACATATTATATTATGACATTACAACAATTACACTACATGCTGATCTACATGTGCATTTAAGATATGAGTTTTTATCCTATGTGCTTTTACGAATTCTATCTGATTAAATACAAGAATATTGAGTTTAATTGAAAGATATGAATCATATAAGAATAAATAGAATCTTCATAACCTTTCAGTGAAAACTTATAGTGGGAAAGATATTTATCTATATGAATGTAGTTCGATGAATAGTGATTTTATTTCAGTGAATTTTATATGAATCAATCTTGTGTTGTATTTCTAATAGAAATCACATCTTCGATGGTTTATAAATAGTTTTCTATTTCTAGTTTTCGTCTTCAACAAACACAATATATAAAAAATGAAACTTTAATACGATATCCAACATCAAATATTGATTTTTCTCGTTGGTCACAAACACCATCACCATCAAGATATTCTCTTATATCAGTTGTAAATCATTATGGTTCGATGAATAGTGGTCATTATACATCTTATTGTAATGATGGGAAACAATGGTATTATTGTGATGATCACTCAATTCGTGCAGCTGACATACGTGAACTTGCACATAATGTTCATGCTTATCTTCTTTTTTATTCTTCGATACCACCACAGCAATTACGTTTACCTTTAATTCCAAATTAGTATTTTCGTTTTTGTTCTATATAAATAGTTCGGTGTTCATTTCTTTTGTTTGATATTTATTTTAAAAAAGAAAAGCGAATGATATATGATTTTTTTTTTTTCTTTGGTTATAAATTATTTTAGATATCTTTTAATAATTGAAATATGACTGCAATAGTGGAAGATATGCCAGTATTTATTCCTAAAGAGGTTTGCGAATTGGTTAAGAAAACATGTATTATTAATTTTGTTTATTTAATTTAAAAGGAAGATCTAGGTCGAATTGTTCAACAAAACTATGTTCTTTCATCACAATATGAATCACTTGATAGTGATGATTTATATACAAAATATAAAGTTTGATTTATTAGAAATGCATTGTTGAGTTTTGTGAAAAACAAAAGAATTGTTTCTTCTTTATTTAGAAACTTCAACGACAACTTGAATTCTTAGAAGTTCAAGAAGCATATGTTAAAACAGAATTAAAAAATTTAAAAAAAGAAATGTTACATGCACAAGAAGAAATAAAACGTATTCAAAGTGTACCACTTGTTATTGGACAATTTCTTGAAGCTGTTGATCAAAATACTGGCATTGTTGGATCGACTACAGGTAATGAACAAAGATTTGTTTTTGTTTAAACAAATTTCTAAACAAAATGTGGCTTTCTTTTTGGTTCGTTTAATAGTAAATTAGAAGAGTAAAATGATCTGTCATGGTATCGAATTAACAAAAGCATCTTGTCAAATGATAAATCACTTTTCAAATAATTGTTACATAATTAGATAGGCTTTATTATAATGAGAGAAGGTCTCAAAAGGATTCGTACTCATGTATGTTTCATCTTGAGCTATAGCCGTTTTAGTAATTTTTTCAACCAATTTTTGTTTCTTTTACAGATCATCTTTCCTATTGACTATTTGAAATTCAAACTATGCACAAATAAAGTCCTCAATTCGATTAGTTCACTCTGAAAATAAGATTTTTTCTAGTATGTTCAATCCTAAAAAATCAATATTGAAAAATCGGTGATGCATAATTTTTGAGAACTTTATTTGTACAAAGCTTTAATCTCATAGTTGATCTGACAGATTGTATGAACGAAATTATCGCCTTCGATTGAACAAACGATTCATTAAAATATCTATCAGTCAAAAAGAAAGATCCATGAGCGCAAATTCTTTTAGACTTTCTTTAGTCTCAATAGGACTTACTTAATGAGGTAATACTCATTCTAATAGCAATTTATCACTTGGTTAGGTTATTACTTTAATTTGAGAAGACATTTGTTGTAGAACACCATTGTTCGAATGATTGCAAGAGGTTAAAAAATAAATCTAAGATCTTCATTGTTGATCAATCGAAAAAATTTCATGTTTTTGAAAATTTTTCAGGTTCAAATTATTATGTACGAATTTTATCAACAATTGATCGAGAACTTTTAAAAGCTGGTGCTAGTGTTGCTTTACATAAACATTCAAATGCACTTGTTGATATTCTTCCACCAGAATCAGACAGTAGCATTTCCATGTTACAAGCTGGTATTATCAAATTATTTTTTATTTTTTTTTATGAAATTTTTGTATTAATAATTTGTAGATGAAAAACCGGATGTTGATTATTCGGATATTGGTGGATTAGATTTACAAAAACAAGAAATTCGTGAAGCTGTTGAATTACCATTGACACATTTCGGTGAATTTTTAGATATGAAAATCTTTTTTTTTATTTTTGTATTTATAGAACTATATAAATTAATTGGTATTGATCCACCGCGCGGTGTACTTATGTTTGGTCCTCCAGGTTAGTAAACTATTTAAATATTTTATTTTCTTAAAAATTTTTTTTTTCTTCTAGGTTGTGGAAAGACAATGTTGGCTAAAGCTGTTGCTCGACATACGACTGGTTAGAAGATTTTACTATTATTGATATTCATGTTCTATTATTTGATGCCTTTTTTACAGCTTCATTTATTCGTGTAGTTGGTTCTGAATTTGTTCAAAAATATCTTGGTGAAGGTCCTCGAATGGTTCGAGATGTGTTTCGTCTTGCTAAAGGTATGAAACTATTCAATATATATATATCTTAATATATATTAATATCTTATTAGAAAATTCTCCTGCTATAATTTTTATCGATGAAATCGATGCAATTGCTACAAAACGTTTCGATGCTCAAACAGGAGGTTAGATATTAAATACTGTTATTTCATTATTCATCTTATTTTTTTTATAGCTGATCGTGAAGTACAACGTATTTTACTTGAATTACTCAATCAAATGGATGGTTTCGATCAAAGCATTAACGTTAAAGTAAATTATTCGTAAGGGAATCCTTCTCCGTTTTGAGACTTCTGAAGAATGACTCATCAAACATATTTGAAACTTTCATGATAGATAGATCTCAATGAGTAAAGCAAAAGTAATCATAGACTCGAAATATTTTCTTTTAGAAAGTATCTGAATCACAAGATCCAAAAAATTGCCCTATTTTCATTGTTGCACTACATTCGACAGAACTGGAATTTTTCTTTCGAGATATTAGACACTGCTTGTAGTGCAGAGATTTCTTGATTTCTTTTTATCTCATTCCATTTGAATGAAAAGATCAAAATACTAAACGTACCTTCAAATAATATACGAGACAGTGTCTGGTACGTGTAATTAAAATTTTCAACTTGATCCAACATACTATGTCTGAGAAACGGAGACGATTTCGAGAAAAACGAAAAAAAAAAATTCCTGTGTGTATCAAAATTTTCCTTCTCGAACTAAATTGATGGAAAACTGACCATGTTCAGCGGTGTTAGAGATCCACGACACATGCTCTCAGCAATTTGAGAATGGGACATAATCATTGTCCTTCGGAGAATTTTGAAAACAAAAACTAATCGCAGTAAAACTTTTTCTGCTAGGGATTTTGAGAATTGGTTTTAATAAATGTACTAGCTAATAACGAAGAGACGTCATCCGTATATCATTTGAGAGAGAACACTTTGAAGTTATATCAAAAAACGAAAAAAAAAAACTTAGACTTTACCATTCGAAAGGAAGAGAAGTTCGCTTAGATGGAGACAACTAAGTTTTATTATTTTCTTTAAGGTTATCATGGCAACAAATCGTGCTGATACACTTGATCCAGCTCTTCTTCGTCCAGGACGTTTAGATCGTAAAATTGAATTTCCTTTACCTGATCGACGACAAAAACGTTTAATTTTCTCAACTGTAACTAGTAAAATGAATTTAAGTGATGAAGTTGATTTAGAAGACTATGTTGCACGTCCTGATCACATATCAGGTGCTGATATTAATTCAATTTGTCAAGAAGTATGTGATATTTATATCTTCATTTTATATATAACTTTTTATTTACTTTTATCTCTAGGCTGGTATGCAAGCTGTACGTGAAAATCGTTATATTGTATTAGCAAAAGATTTTGAAAAAGCATATAAAAATGTCGTAAAGAAAAATGAACAAGATTTTGAATTTTATAAGTAATAACCCTGAAAAAACAAAAGATTGTCATATGATGATGTTGATTATAGGATTCATTCTTCTTTTTCTTTTTTATTTCAATGACTAAATATATTCTCGAAGAGATATTTCCAGGGTGCTCTTTCTTTGTTTTTTTTTACAACTGAATTCTTATTCTAGATTGTTTTTCTTGTTGACACTGAATTAGATTATCGAAATGAAAGTTACGTCGAAAACTACAGCAGCTAATTCGACCAATCGGATTAGTGCATTAGACAGACTCAGCATGCCAACACCTAACAATAATAATAAGCAAATTCATCAACGTCTAAGTGTACCAACAAATCGCATGATTACAGATGCACGACAATTATTAACAAATCGAAATACACCAATATTTGATGCTCGACAATTATTAAGTCGACAATCATCAAAAACTTCTAATACTTCTCTAATAATGCAAAAAGACTTTATACAAACTGAAGAAGATGATGATAATGAACAATATGATGATGAGCAAAAAGCAGAATATATCAGTAGTTTTAACAATACTCGAGTAAGATCGAATATGATTAAATTTTGAGAAAAAAAACTTTTTTTCTTCTTTAGTTCGTTGCCGAAACTCCAGATTTTTCATTCGAAAAGAAGAATAACACTTTTGTGACTTTTCAGAAACCCAAGTCAACTGAATCAATTTCTTTTACTAAAGTAAAAGCCTATTTCGTGTTTTTTTTCTTTCAGACAATCAGTAATATTTCCTTATTTTGAAAGACAATCACAAACACATCATTCCAACGTGAAGATGATGTTCATCGGTTTCAAGCTCACAACACTCACTTATCTTCATTCGACAAAAAAGTTAGTATCAGTGTTGTAAAAGATCAATCCCGCAAAAGACCTAAATCACCATCGCCAACTTCACCTTCACCTCCTCCAAGAATCAGACGTTTACATGATGCTTCAATTCAAACAACACAGTCATCATCTTTATCTCGATCACCAATTCCGATCAATTCTCATCGACGACATTTAGATGAATATGATGATCATTACGAACCACCAATAAAACGTAGTTCTTCACGACATACAACAATAGACAAAGAACAACAAGATCTATCTACAGTATTAAAAAATTCTCTAAGACGAACATCGACCAAGACATTTGATAATACACAAGTAAATTCTAATAACTTTAATAATTTTATGATCTTAATTTCTCATAATTTTATTTAGACAAAACAAAAGACATCAATACAATCGAATTCAGATGCTACAACGGTCTTAGTAACAAATCTTCAACCATCAGTTACAGAAGATGATGTTATTGTATGAAATTTTCTTTTCTAATTTCAAATATCTATATCTATCTATGTACATATAATTTAATTTAGGAATTATTTAGTGAAGTTGGTCATATTGATGAAATAATAACATTAAGTCATGGTTGTGTTCAAATTGTTTATTCAAACCATGCACATGCGGAAGAAGCAGTTGCTAAATATCATAATCGATTATTAGATGGGCAATTAATTTATGTTAGCCTTCAACAACTACCATCTTATTCAACAAAATCATCCAAAAATTCTTCATCATCACGATATTCCAAACCAACAGCATCGAAAGACAAGAGGTATAATAAAAAGAATAATTCATTTTTATTTCATCTTCTTATTATTAATATTCATATACTAGTTCATCACAATCAATTAATGATAATGAATGTTTAAAATCAAATTCAAATAAAATTGTTATTGATCCTACATTTATGCGCCAAGCTCTATTCTATCCGTCCAATAATCCAACAAATCCTGTACAATTTCAAGTGAAACTTTAAAATAGACAACTTTATTTCTTTTAAATGAACTATTTATAAATATATTTTCTTCAAATGTGATTTATTTTTCTTCATTTATTTAAAAGTATATTAGAACAAAAAAATAGCATAACAATTCGAATAATTTTTTCCTTAACGCGGAAGTTCATTTATCTCTTAATCATTTGGTTATGGAGTTTCCGGAAAGATGACAAAAAATGTCGGTTTGCTTGTAGAAATCTGCAGTCAAGTATATGTGCCAAAAGCAAACAATAGATTGTGTTAGACTTTAACCAACATCATAAAATTTCATATTTACAGAGTCGAATAGGGTTGCCCAAAACCTTGCGAAATCTTTCATGGAGCTTCATGAAGAGTCCTATGATTTGATATCATAATATACGTAGATGTAATAATATTGAACATCTGGTCTTTTGTCAAATTAGAGCTTCAACAGTAATCATAACTTTCTAGACCGACAATCGCTCTAGGATTCTGCACAATTTTATGGGTTTTTTGTTTAGTCTCACTGAGTTTTAAAAAATTTGAGTAGAAAGAAAGAATCTATAAATTTTCGTTGACCTATAAAGTCATAATTCCTTCTTTCCCCTGTGATATACATGTACAGTAGCATCCTATAATGATGCTGTTATATTAAAAGCGTAAACAAAATAGAAAATACTCTACAACTGATGAAAGAGTGCGTATTGGACAAGTCATAATCTGCATAAAAGCTTAGCTTACACATATATATGAGTTTTACAACCAAAGAATAAAAGCGTTCAATTTGTACAAATAATTTTGAATAGAGTAGCGTCTTTTGAGTTTACTATGTATTCAGTTGAATCCAAACGCTTACAAAGAAATATTATCAACTGATCAATTCCTTTTGAATTCGCACTCAGTGCACAGGTCAGGTTTGGGTGAGCTATGCAAAATTTCTAAACGGTATGTTACCTTATGCCTTCTGTTCGGAGTTGTAGATATTTTACTGGAATTTCTTGTCTGTAGCATGCCCTGAGAAGCTCAACTCAAAAGAATCACTCATATTTCACAAGAGATGCTAGAATCTTCTGTTTTCTAGACTTTAATACCTCGAGAAGAAAATTTTCTTTTGAGTTGAGATTTTCAGAACATTCTACTGATAAATACACATGTGTATAAGCACAATCTTAGGTCAAAATACTGTCATTCGATTTGTTACTATTGATCATGCTCGAAACTAAAGTTCTAGTAAAATACCTATCGGTACTCCACCTTATGCATTCAGTTCCAATTCAAAAACAATTGATCTATTCAAAATGTTCTCTTCTTAGAATCGTATAAATTTAAACTTGTAGATTTTCTTTGTAAATTATTTCAAATGATATGATCGATTAATTTACATTCATAATTTCGTTAGAATGAATCTATACGACATTGGACATCAGCTATGATATTCAAACAAAATACAAAACCTGATTTTTTTTCTTAGTATTATTCAAAAATAAAACTTGATTAAAAAAATTGCATAACTGGAAAAAGGAAAATATTTTAAGTGAATAAATTTCTATCTAATCAAATAAAATGAGGAAAAAGTAATCTAATTAAATTAATGAATTTTTATAGTTCAATTATGTTTATAAAATCTTTTAATTAAGTTGTGAATATGATGAAGATCGAGGTATTAAAGTCGTATCATACACATCATTATCACATAGTTGAAATCGATTTGTGCATGTATCTAAATTTGTTGTTTTTGTACCTAGACATGTAGAACTAGCAGTTCCTAAATCAAAACTAACATTTCCAGCTCCAAGATTTGAACTAGTAGTACGTGTTTGTTGATAAATTGAAGGAGTATTATGATCTTCAATTCCACTTGATCGAATAGTTGATGATGTTGTTGTATAAGTTGTTCCTGATGTACTTCCACCATATTGATTTGTAACAGTTGATGTTGAAGTAGTTCCTGATTTTTTCATAAGTTCATCAAGTAATCGAGCATAAATTTTAAGTTCATCTTCAATACTAAACCTTAATTCAGATGCCATTTGTTCAAAACGTTCACGTAAAGTATCATATTCATATTTAAGTTTTTCAACAATTGTTTTTTGATTAAATTCTTTATCACGAATTTTTCTTTCAATTTCATGTAATTTTGCTTCTTCATCACGTAATAAACGACGTTTTTCTGATAATAATTTTGTTAATTCATTCAAACGAATTTGTTCTTTATCATATTCCTACAAACAATAAAAATAAACATAAGTACTATTAAGAAAAAAAAAGAATTGTTCGTTTTTGTTTTCTGTATACTTCCATGCTTGTACGTAATTTAGTTTCTTCGATTTGTATGCGATTTCTTTCGGATTCTTGCATTGAACCATCAGTTACACCAGGTACTTGTTGTTTAAGTTGATTTTCAACCATACGTAATTGTCCTTCAATTTGATATTCAAGTTCATCTTGAAATTTTTTTGCTTGTTTAGAATAATCTCGTTTAATATCTCGTATAGCATTGGTTAATTCTTCTTTATAAAATGAAATAGAATCATCTTTTGATTGTTCTAAAAGTCGTTTCCATTCATTAATTTCTTCTTCATTTAATGCATTTATTAAATTAATACGTTCACGTAACGATTGTATATCATCTAATAATGTTTGTTTATCAACAACAATACGAAGCCAATCTTGTAAACGTTCATGAAATTTTTTTAATTCCTTCATTAAATCATCACGACTAGTTGAAACTTCTTCATCACTTGCACGTTCACGTTGACTAATGCGATTAAATTCTTCTTGTAATTTATCAATAAGAGTACGTAAATTTTCTTGTTTACGTTTATACATTTCATGAATATTTCCATATAAAGCAGCTGCACGATTAAGTATTGCAGATTCTTGTTCAGCAGCACGTGAACGTACTTCATCATTAGCACGTTGACCAGCTCGATTATTAATTTGATTTATTATTTGTCGTAATTCATTTTCATCACGTGGCAATATGCCCCATTTAGAAAATTCATCTTTTAATTGTGCTTGTAATTGTTCATTGATTCGTTTTAATTGTTCAATATTAGCAAGAAAATGTGCAAAACGATCATTTAAATAACGTAATTCTTCCTTTTCTTTTATATCACGGTCACGTTCACGTTGAACAAGTTCCATAGATTTACCAACGTTATCATTAGTGCCAGTTGCTGAACGACTTGCTGTACCAACATCAAATTCCAATTTCAATACACGTTTCTCCATTGCTAGTTCGATTGAAGAATAATGTGAAAGTATCGAATAGAATATGCTTAATATATAGACTCGAAGGTACCTTTGTTTTTCTAATGACAATCTAATGAACCATCAATGTTAGTGGTTGCTATTATAAATAGTAAAATGAAAAAGAAACCGCATTTGAGTTTTACAATAGCATGATTATTTTCAAGTTAGATATATTTTTTATAGCTGAAATATAAAGACCAATAACGAAAAAAAAAAGAGAGAATTGTTAATGTCATTTGTATACACATTTTAATCTGTTCGTCGCATATCAATCGAAGTAATAGCTGGTGTTTTTGATCTACCAGCTCGAAAAAAACGAGTCAATTTTGATCGTGATGTATGATCATCTTCAAGTTCTTCGAAGATCTATTCAATTCAGATAAAAATTAATAAGAAAAAAAAAAAACAAAATAAACTATAAAAATTATACTTGATTATAACTACTGGAATTTTGTAAAGCACGTTTAGCTAAATATTTTTCTCGTCGAATTTTAATTGAAAGAGATTCAGGTATATCATCAATGACAGCATCCGTTAAACGACATAAAACAAAAACAATATGCTATTTAAAACATATAAGTAATATCCAAAACAAGAAATAAACAATATTTACTTCAAATAAAATCACAAAAAATAATCGAAGAGCAAGTAATTTCCAAAAAAATACAGTTAAAGTACCATCTGGATTTCGAAAATCGCGATACCTAATAATAAATCGATATCAAAATGTGTGTAATTAATACTTAAAACTACATACATGCATTCTGTTGATGTAGTATTTGCTGGTGCTTTAGCTAATGTGAAATATGTATAACCTTTTAAATCTCGATCAACTGTATATTGATAAAGAATTTTCGGTAAAAATTCTGAAGTAAATGCAATTAGAAAAGCCTAGAGGAAAAAAACTTATCTTTTCAAAAAAAAAATGCTCTATAAATTGTTATTACATTAGCTACAATAGCTAAATAAGCAAGAACTTGCAGAATATTAAACCATATACCAATTGTTGATGAACGAAAAGCAATTGGACGTCTATTGATAGTGAAACTTTTTATTTATAATGATGAGATGATAAAAAAGAACTAACCTTGTTTCACAAGTAAGTTTTTTTGCATCGAGTCGAATTTCGATCCAATTATTAAGTAATGCAAATAATGGAGCAAGTGGAAAAGCAGCAACAAAGATTGTTATAAAACCAAATTGTAAAACTAAATGTCGAAGAATAAAAATACATAAATCAAATAATGATTATAATTATTTTTTTTTACCCATTTCAAGATATTCTTGGAATAAACCACCAAATTCACTATGTTTAAAATCATCTTCCCATTGAGTTGTATATTTAGTTTTTGGTATTGACACTTGCCATCGTTGATATAATGCAAGAATTTTTCTATAAATATTCTATTATTAAATAAATCAATACAGAAGTTAGAGAACTTACGGCCACATTACTTCTTGAATATTCGACACAGTTTGTTTACCTAGAAAAACTATTTATCATACCATTAAATAATATATATTCTTACCTATCATTATGATTCCTAATTGTATTGCTAATTCCACCAGACAACCCCCTGGGCCACACTAAGAATATACAAATACTTCAGTATGATTCTATTAAATAAACTTCTGTTGTAAATATAAAAATGTTTTTGAATTAATTGTTTTCATTCATGAATTTAGTGATGTCACATCTTAGAGAGTACGATCATCACTTCTTGGTTGGTCGGCTTTCGAAAATTAGTTTGCTTTTACGCTGATATTTTGTCTATTTACTAGATTGATCAAAGAAGTATATTACAGAATTTTACTGTGAAATCCCCCCTCCTCCCCCCTCTTAGAGATCTTATGACGTTGATGGCAATATCTCAGTGCCGCAGCTGCAATGAATGGTTCGTTTTCAAGATATTATATTTTCAAGAAAAGCTGATTTTCGTCACATATAACAGCATAGGAGAGTTTTCTTGAAAGCTTAATATCTCAAGAAAGAAGCATTCGTTTATACTACGACATTTACATCGCTATCGAGTTTGTATGACCTACGTGTGAGTGGAATTTCACGTTGAAATTCCTAAGGTTCACTGAATTCTAATTATGATAAAAATATCAATGCAAAAGCTTTAAATTATATTTTAGGAATAAATTGGTAAATAATAGATTGAGTCATATGAATTCAATCAATTGAATTGTTCTCTTATATCATTCTTCATTAAAAAATTGCTGCAGTAAAATGCTTATAAATTTCAAGATACTCTTAATGGAACTATTTCGATAATAAAACAAATGGCAAAGATATTGAGATAGTTGACGTATATCTCAATTAAGATAATCTCATTTCTTACTTCTTCTTGTCGTAAATTCAATATTTTCACATAATGTCCAGGATAACCAGCAGCTCTAAACAATACTTTTATTTAAACTTCGAAGCAAAAACTTCGATACTTACTTTCCTTTAATAAAAGCTATATAAAAAATAGATGAATAAATATTAATAAATTGAAAAATAAACACTTTTATTGTAAAATGATTATCAAAATCCGTTTGTGTACGATGCATTTCTAGAAAACAAAAAAAAAAAGAAATAAAAATACTTTCGAAATCGAATTCATTTTTATAATTAAATCAACAAACCCCATTGTGTTAATTTATAAGCAATAATTTCATATAATCGACCTAATACCATAATAATAATTAAATTAATCACAGCTCCACTAATCGATGCAACACTAAGTGCATATTGTCTACAACAAAAAAACACAATAATTTTAAATCGAAAAGTTCCGGTAGGACAAAATGATCATTCTCCATTTGAAAAGTAACCGTTACTATCTCGCGGAAGAACTCGTGACGCATCGAATAATATATTGGCAATTGTTTTATCATCAAGTTTTAATATTTTGGAGAGTCATGAACTAGTTAAAGAATATTATAGCAATGGTAGATGATAGGACCAAATATTAGGATTCAATATGTATCCAAATCAATCTATATCAAAATTTGTTTGGTCTTAAGTCGAGAATATATAATAAAATATTTACAATAATTTTCTTCGTAGTCAAAACCTTAATATTTTTACTAGATTCTGTAATTTTTGATTTTTATGATGTTTAAAATTGTTTGATAATTTTCATGATGGCAAAGTCGAGCAACCATGCCATCTTCTCAGAAATCGCGTATCACCAAGCTCTATAAATTTAATAATTGATTGCCCTTTGAATTGATGTCCGTCATGGGCTAATTGACCAATCAATGCCTAAAAAAAAGTCAATTTTTCGATTTCTAAGAGCAGAAAAGTATATGAGTTTTGCGATAAATACATTTTAAGTGCAAAATTTTCTATCTGTCAATAATTATTTCACAATACTCTGTCACAAAGATACATTTTTATTTTATTCTATTCCATACGAATTCAGATTTTGAATGGTTGGATGTGGTTAAAATATGAAGTGGTATTAGATTCAATATATGCTCGGTCTCTTATGAGAATCAAAAATTTTACATATTTCCATACTCTTCTTCAGAAACCTGGAAGCGAAAATATTTTTGTCGCATTCAAAAGATCAGTATATGCCAAAGGATGGGATATGATGAATTTATTACTAAGAGATACGAATTTTTCACTCAAAACATATTTATCTAAAAAATAATATACTTTTCTGTTTTTAGAAATCCAAAAAATTGAACTCTTTTTAAGCATTGGTTGGCCGATTTGACGATGAACCACGTCAATTCAGAGGATAACCAATTGGTATACTTATAGAGCTTCATGATATACAATCGTTGAGACATTTTCACGGTTGGTTAATTGCCTTTGTCGAGACATACTGAGTTCTAGTATTTGGTCATATAATCAACAATGACTATAATATCATTTAACTGGTATATAGCTTCTCACAACATAAAAACCTGATGAAATGGAGGTTTCCCATATACTATTCAATGCATCACAAGTTGGCCTACACCACGATATGAGTAGCTTTTCAAATAAAGGGTAATTATCTTAACTGGCAAGACCCTCTATTTTATGAATTTTCATGTTTACCGTAAATCTTGACTTCGAAATAATGGAATACTAATAATTATTCGATAAACAATTATTGCTATGATAAATATAATAACCATACAAATCTTAAATTCATCAAAATAAATAAATATATTAAGAAAAACAACAGTGGCTATGTTTATTCTACCATGACAGTAAGAATCATAACACCAGATAAAATACGATATTGACGAGTTGCTGCTGGAAAATAAGGTTCAAGAATTCCAGTAACAGGATTTTTTTCAACTGTTGATGAACGTATTACAAACTCAGGTCGAGGTCGATTCTTATTAAATTAAAAGAAAAAATTTAATCGTTTCACAATAAAAAGAAAACTGTACTTCTTCTTCTTCAAATTCCATTAGATCCCATCGATGTGTTATTGCAGCATTTTTCTGTTTCCAACGTTTGAGAAAAGTTACCGCTAGATGATTTAAAAAAAAAAATTCTAATAATCGGTTTTGGTATCTTTTTTTTACCCCAGAACGACATAAATATTGCATAAAAGACAGTTCCTGGATGATCGAAAAACACACCAAGACGTGCATATGAACATATATCCGAAAGATTCCAATACGGACACTAAAATGAAGTGTATGATATTTATATATTTTAGTATTATCCGTGAATTAGACATGTATGATATGAATAGTTTGAATAATAGATCAATTTTGCGAAAAGATCAGACTGTAGTCAATAAAACTTTTCAGTATTGCTTTGCTTCTCATTAAGTAATCTTAAAAATAATATTTTTCGACATTGATTTAAATTGTATTTTTTTTTTTGAGAATCTTTATTATCTAGCGAGGTCAGGTCAATGACTCAGAACTCCGAAAAACAAGTAATATTGACTGGAACTGATTCAAAAGATGTCATAGGCTCAATTAAATTAGTAAGAAAACTTCAAAAGTCGATGACACTTGGACATAGTTTACCAAATCGGAAAGTCTTCTGATTTTCTCGGTAACTTTCAGCTGTTTATCATTGCAACGAATAAAACATTCGTCGGAAATCATCAGGCACAAAAATTGGAAACATTCCACTTCAGAATACGACATGCAAGGCACATCAATTTCCGATGTTTTCCTACCTGAGTCTCCTCAAGTGATTTTACTTGAAAAAGAATAATTCATGAATGTGTTTTAATATATTAAGATAATTTCATCATTTACAAATCTTTCGACTTGAATTAGTTCTGATTAATATAGTCTGTCTACAACGAAAAGTATAATAAAATTTTCGAAATAGATGACCTAGAGTGAAAAAAGTTTTAATTGATACAAACAGATTTGAATGTTTGATGTCAACACAGATCTTGCTTGTTTCACTAATTGTTAAATGATGTTTCGAATTTTGACACAACGTCTTCTTATTATTGATTTTCTTATCATCTAATGATAGTTCTTAAAAGATTACACATTTCTGGAAGAACTCCGCATCAGACATCTTCAATATTATAAAAGTCTTACGATAGAATCAGTTACTATTGATTAACTTTTACCTTTATGTACTGTTTATTGGATATGGCATCAACATGAAAATTATTTCATAAAGAAAACAGTCGATTTAATAACAGAACTCTTCTACTCTCAATTAACTTCAATAGATATGATTCATTATATTTTCGCTATTGAAGAAAAAAAAACATATCTTCCTCCTATGTGCATATATAACAATGAGCTCAATGAGATATTCTTTATTTAGCTGATTTCAATGTTAGACTACATATATGTAATATGCACTACCGAAAATATTTATCTCATTCATAAATAATTCTTAAAAATTTATCTTTAATATTGTTTACCGCATCACAAATGGGACACATTGTAATATTCTTTCCAATCGTACAAACATCATAAGCAGGTACATCATTAGATAAATGAATAAAGCCGAAAAAAAAGACTAATACACCGATTAATGATGTTGGTAAAAGCCAAGTTGTATAAAGACCTAATAAATTTCTTGATTTTCAAAGTATTCAATAAAAAAGAAAAAAGAAATAGTGAACCTTACCAAGCCAAGCAAAATAAAGACTGATTTTTTCTCCAAAATATTCTCGAATTAAATCTAATGGTTGATATTTATAAAAAAATCTATAACGTGCCCATGTGTCATATAAAATTCTTCGTGGATTATTTTCATTCAATGGTGTTGGTTGTTCTGTTGCATTAAATCTATAATCTCCTTCATGTAATGGATAAGCAGCTTGAAATACTCTTTCACGTAATAAACGATCAATACCAATTTCACCTTTTTCTATTCGACCAAATAGTGTTGTTTGTAAAATTTCATGTACAGCAAAACTTCGTTGAGTATTTGTAAAATGAACAGGAAAATGATTATTACCCATAAAACGATCTTGTTTTGATATTTCAAATACAGATGTAAATAAATCATAGTAACGTTTAGATGCTTCAGATAAAAATGGATTATGTGAAAGATGTAAAAAACGAAGTATACGATCAACAAATCTTATTTTACAACTATAATTATTAACTGCCTAAATTAGATGAAAAGAAAGATGAAATAAAATTTCATTTTTTTTTTATCATTCAAATTACTCGAATTGGTACACGAAAATTCAAGTCTTCAGCATATTTAAGCAGTAATAACCATGGTATATGAATTTTAATAAAATAAACAAAACTTCGATCACTTTCACGAACTTCCTTTGAAAAAAAATATAAAATTCAGCTTGTTATTTTCTTTCAAAATTAATCTCAATAACAAACATACAGTTTCCATTAAAAGACCTATTTTAGATAAATTACTAAGAAATCTTCTTTTAAATAAACGACGTCTATCTTTTTGCTTTTGTAATGCAAGAGCCAACTTTTCATTTTCATCATTATTCATCGTTGTTGATAATGAAATCACTAATTCATCAGTAGTTGTTGTACGTTTATCTTCATAGACAAGAATATAATCTTAAATAAATAGTTTTTTAATAATAAATCAATAATCAAGAAAAAAAAAAATTCTTTACCAATTTTTGTTTTACCATCATTAAAGCAATTATAACAATCATCTAGTAATTGTATATGAACAGTTTCGGACATCTAAATATATATACATATATTTCTTTTATTTATAGAAAAAATTAAAATTCATTAATATTACTTGCATATCAGGGTCGTCATTTTTTTCTGCTAATTCATTAGCAGCAGCTACCGCTTCTTCACTTTCATCAAGTGGACCATATATAGCATCGGAATCGATTGGATCAAACATCGTTTTACAGACTAATTCTTAATGAATACAATCATTTACTGCATGACAGAATAACGCACGTCTAGTTTTATATGTACTCAAATGCATCAGCTGGTACTTACATATCTACATTTTTTTTTCATTGATGACAACAGCATTAGGCTTCTTTTTTCTTCTATTGCAATGAATGCAAAAGAATAATGATACTCTCTATAGATCGAATCAATGATTTATTTCTTTTTTTTTTTTTTTTGTTTGCTATATATTGTTGAAAGAGTGTATTATAGATGAACATCATCGATTTTTTTTTCAATCGAATTCCGTTCACAAGATTTCATTGTGGAAGATTAAGAATATTATGATGAACACGGTAAACACCAGAAGAACCCATGGTGATGGTAGATTTATCAGCGTCGTTACCTTCTTGCAGTATAAAGGTCACTGAATAATAAAAAACAACTGGTTATCACTGTAAGTTCGTCAATGGCTCATTGGTCTTCGAATAATACTAGTAACAGGATCTACGGACCTAAACTGAAATGTATTCGATAGTGTTTTGAAGGTAATAGATGAAAGTCAGAGTATCACAATTGTTTTACTCTGCTAAGGAAAATGTTTTCAGAAAAGTTCGAACATTCAGCATCAAAATTTCATCTTATGAAAGAATACACATCTAACTGTCGGACTTCGTTCGACTGTATATCATGGCTATGAGTAGGTTTTTGTGTGGCTAAGAAAAACTTAAAAGAATTTGTGAACATGATTTACTGATAAAGAGTTCTGTTCTTTTTAATAAAACTTTCACTGAGAGCAAAGCATTTCCGAAAAACCTACAAAAAGAGTTTTGAGCTGGGTATTTTTTATAGCGAGACTTATTAGTCATTAGATAGTTCTGAAAGTTTTCCATAAAAACGAATGCCTTTCTTGATATATTCGATTTTTGAAAAAACAAGTAGATTATCATAGCTATTCAAGGTGCCTATAGAAAAAATTTTGGGTAAAAATTCTTTGTGTTAAATTTTTTTGAGACACGTTGCCCTCAAGAGAGAATTAACCCAATTGTCCATGAGTCTTTGTCATCGAGTTGTGATCGATTTACTGAATTTTTGATTCATTTGTGGGTAGTTCTCAAAAAATCCAATGAAGGAATCTTGATCTAAAAGTTTGTCTATAGATAGATTTAATAACTCTAAGAACATCATGAAGACTTCAGCCGAAAAAAGATATTCTTTCGTCAAGATATAAAATTTTCAAAAATAGCCTTTTGCCACAGACATACCAGGAAAATCGACTTTACTTGAAAATTAAATAACTTGAAGAAGGAACATTCTTTTTGGCTACAATTTTCAGAATATTCCAGTCGTCCTTAGATCTACTTACAAGTCCAATATGAGCTTAAACGACGATGACCGTTAGTTGAGGTAGTTTCCTTGTCAGTAAAACTTTCATTAAAAACACCATAATTTTTTATTAACAGGATATTGTCTCGAATCTTTTTAAAATTTTCGTAGCAGTACAAGGACTTACTCTTAACCATCATATGAAGTCGAACGACGTCCGACAGTTGAATATGTTCGCTCGTTAGTATTCAATTAAATAGTAATTTAATCTCACAAAGTCTCATGTTTCAACTATCACTCTTTCTCTGTTACGTTTGCTTCTAGAAAGAAAAAAGATTTTCTTTACCAGTTGCCAATTATAATTACTTGAATGAAAAAGAAACAGACCGTATGTAAAAATACAAACAAACAAACAAAAAAAAAATGAAAACAAATCTTCAAACTAATATTTTAACATGAGCTTTACTACTATCAGGACAATAATACATTTTATGTGCATCATAAGAAGTTTTGTGTTGAAATGAAATTTGACATGACGAACAATATGTATCATTTGTTTTTGTTTTGCTAATATATTTTAGCACCTCTTTAGTTGATGGTCGGGATGCACAATAATTTATCATATGTTGTTCTAAGGTATCAATCCTACTAAATTTAACATGACAAAAAGGACAAGATAAGTTTTTATGCATTAAATTATTATCTATTGGTTTCATAAGAATCTTTTGAATGAGATTCGTAGAATCTGATGATTGATCATTTTCATCTAATAAACATTCATTTGATTTTATTTGTTGATCATTTTGTTCATCATCATCATCATTATCATCATCATCTTTTTTTATATTTGTATGTGCTAATTTCATATGTCGAGTTAAATTCCATCTCGAACTAAATCTTGATTGACATTCTAAACATTCACGTAAAGGTTTATTCGTATGTACATTTATAATATGTTTTAAAAGTATTTCTTCATAATCGAACATTGCAGAACAGATCGTACATTTCAGTAATAATTGATTTGTTTGTATTGGAACAGTTAAAGAGTTCATTGTTGATTTTATAATAATATCATCATCAGTGCAAGATTCATTATTTGACAAATGAAATTTAAAATGCATACGTATTCCACGAAGAGTATTTCCTTGATACTTGCATAAACGACATATAAATAGAAATGGACGATGTATTGAATTTAGTGAACCATTTGGAGAAGAGTTTAAAGTGTTCGACGAAAATAATGCAGGTGATTGAGAACTATTTTCAAAATAAGAGAAATATTGTTTGAATCAAGAATATTGAAATATTAATTTTCATAGTATAGTATAATTTATTAATCATCATAGAATATCAATCATTCGAGTTTTTGATACAAGGATAAAATTATAAAAATATTTACTCTAGTGAATATACTGGATTCAAGGCACTCAAAAGAACATTCTACGACAAATAAGTAACAGGAACTTTTCGACTTTTCCAATACTTGACTCAAGAACAATTTTCAATGTTCAATCAACTAACTTGTCGAAAAATTTTTCTTACAATACTAAACAAACTAGTCTATCGCCTAAGCGGATACCCGCTTAGTACCAATCTACTGGAATAATGTTCAGTAGGATATTGACTGGAAGTAGACTTAAAAATATTTCCCCCCTCTGTAAAGTTCTTCTAGTTCTCTGCAAGAGTATAACTGATCAGTTTTTAATTATTACTACAACTAGATTATCAAAAATGACGGGAACCATGTTTCAAGAAAAATTTTTTAAAGCAGATTTTCTGGAATTTTGGATGATATCTTCAAAACCTCTGCAACAGCTGCTTGTCAAGTTTTTTTTCTGTAAAATGGGTTCCATCATTTTCAATAGTCTAGCTGTGGTAAAAACTGGCGTCCAACCAGCTGTACTCTCTCGAAGACTCGGAAGTAATCGAAAAGAAGAGGAAGGTATCCTGAAGTATGTGACAGCTTCTAGAAAGATGCAAGTTGCCAGATTAAATTGTTTAATATTTACTATTATTTGATTTATTTTATAAAGTAAGATCGTCAGTTTTGAAGATCATAACACTGGTTCTAATGATTCTCAGTTTTTAGACTGCTATATCGCAGAACTATCTTCAGATCGAAGAAACTATTAAAATAAGAAGTTTATTATTAACAAGACAAGGCGTTAAACTGTCCAAAATTCCTTGATAATCTATCTGTTTGACTATCATTAGACTTTTTCTCTTGAAAAATTCATATCAAAATTAATAATAAATAATAAAATTTTAAAACTTTCTATGCATTTTAGTGTTACGTTGATCTCATGATTGTTAGCATAGATTTCTTCAGTTCAAGTTTGCATTGAGAAATTAATAGATTGTAATCATTACATCGCTTTACATTAAGATCACAAAAATATCGATTTCTTTTTCAATATTCAAACTCTTGTTTAGATTATATTGAGTATCTGATAAGATCATTTTTTGATTCTTACCGATTATTTTCAATAATATCTGTTGATAGATTATTATGATCATTTTTGTTTTGTTTTCGATATGCAATACAATAATTATCTTGATGTGCATGTAAATTTTTTAATGAACGAAAACATATAGAACAATATTCACATCGAAACAGTTGTTGTTGAAAAATCTTTTTCGTTTTTTCAGTCGATAAATCTAATGGTAAATTTGCTGGAACAATTTGCCTTTCATATTCATCATTTTTCTTCTTTGGTTTACTTAAATCTAATGGTTTATTATCCTGATGTGAAATATCAATTTGTGAAGAAATAATAGGTATAGGGACATAGATAAATTGTCCAATTTGAACTGGACGATCAAATGGTATAGATTTATTCTGTAATTTACAAGAAGATGAATTTGTTTGACAATAATATAATTTATGTTGAATAAAGTTATCTGTCTTAGAAAATAAAATATCACATTCATGACAATAAGTATCATTTGATAATAAAGATAAACGTTTTGTAGACGTTGATGACGAATCAATTACATCAGTAGATTTGCGTTTTATGCTTTTTATTCCAGCCGCAATAGTTGAATCTATAAAGTATAGATATGCATTTTATTTTATGGCAATGAATGGCTTTTATTCTATAGAAGATTAGATATACTTTTATCTATAAAACATATTTACCTGTCGAATGACTTTTTGTTGTTTCTCGTTTCGTACAATAATGTTGACGATGTGCATCTAATGTATTTCGATTACTAAATCGAACACCGCATGTATCACAAATAAAAATAAGAGCTAAGAAAAAAAAAATCGAAATAAAATTTTATTCAATTGAAAAATCAAACAAAATAAAATCTTACGATAATGTTCTTTAGTTGGTAATTCAATTTTCATTTCAGTTTCTGTTGGTTCTTTTTTTATTTGAATATCTTTATTCATATTTAATTTTGGAAGAATAATTTTATTCAAACAAAGACTTGTACCAATTGGAATAGATTCTTTTGTCCTTACAAATAATTGATTATCTAATAATATTATATAAACATACATTAAATAAAGAGAAAAAATATTTATTATACTTTCGAAAATAAGATTTAAATTTATTGAAGAATTATTCGATATCGAACAATGAACAAGCCAATTATGTTTAATATCCAGTAACTGAAAACATTCTATTTGGTCTTCAATCTATGATAAAATGCGAAGCACAAAAAAAAATAACAAATCTTAACATTTTATCTTTTTTTTGACTCAGTTATTCCAACAGATAAGAATGGTCCAATATTCATTTTCTTTATCGTCTCTCTCTCTCTCTCTCACTCTTTATTTCATCACTACTATCCTATCATCTCTCGACGCGTAGATAGAAACAATAAGATAACCATGCTTGTCCACACACACGACCCATTGAATTGGGATGAACGATAAGAAAACGAGAAATAATCCATAGATTGTTCATAAATTTTTCTTTTTTTATCGGTCACCTTTCAATTTTTTCATACGAGATTGATAACATAATTTTACACCGCATTGTAGAATTTTGTCGCATAAGAATATATAAATGAAAGATATAAGCACGTACTTGTAAGATGACAGGAAATGGACCAAAACTATGATTTTGTTTAAGATTCTTTCGAGCTATTATATGAATTGACTAAAGATTTTAAAATAGCATATAAATGAATATGAATAAATGTTATTTTTAAACTCACTTGTTTGTCAAATTCAAGTTCATCGGGTAAATCATATATTATTTCCTCATCTTATGTGTTATAAAGTAAAACAAATAGAATAAAATATAAACAAACAAAATAGAAACATTATTTTATCGTTTACCTTTTAGCGATTTTGGATGACGTTGTTTACGACGGGACATGACCATTGAATATATATCTAAATTTGAAGAAGATGTAGAAACGAAATGCAATCTGATCAATAATAATCCTTTTCTCTTCATAGATAAGAATAAATTGAACATCACGAAATATTGAAAGGATAGAGACAATAAAAAAATACGTTCAATATATATCGAAAGAGAATTCGATCTTTTAATCTATCACGTTCCGTTTATTTTAACTTTTTTTCTCTGCCGCTTTAGTTCGCTATAGATAATATTAAGATATGCTTCTCATAAGTGGCTGTGTGAGGGGGCGAGTGCATAAAGATAGGCAACATGTATAAGATAAGTAACTGATAAGAAGGCTAGGGGAATAATTAAGGTATGAATGAATAATTCAGAATTAATAACTAACTCAGGTGGGTTGTTTTTCGACGTAATAACTCATTAATAATATATTGAGATTTGTGTCATTGATTATTTTTTTTTTGCTAAATTGAAAAGTACTAATGACGAGGACGATAGTGATTGAAACAGTGTATACATATAAAGAAGAATGATCAAAATTCCATGTTGAAACTGTTTTTCTTTTCATTAAGTAGTATCTGATTCTCTTACACCGGTGAGATAAGCGAGTCTGTGATTGAAGTCAGAATATATACAAAAAAAAAAGAAATCGAGAGAGAGAGAGAGAACAGGTTAAAATCACTGTGCCGATATTTTTTGTCATTCACTTATATGTGATGAAGAGATAAGCCCTTGCACATATCCATAAAAAAACCTTTTCTCTCTTCGCTTCATTTTTTTGGCCATTACTAACAACGCTGCGAAATTGCAACATTGCCGTTTCCTTATCTTATCGGTGCATCGATCATCATGAGAGAAAGAAAGAATCGAACTTACCTAAACAACTAAATGAAGTCTATCTTTTACTTGGAATATATATGTATATACTCTTTCTACAACACATGCACGTCTAATTAGAGAAGCACAATGTGTGTTTATGTTACATTTCATTTAAAAAAAAAATAAAAGTACCATCTACCCAAAATCATATCAGTAGGTAATCGAAGAGCATCATAGACAGCATCATCAACACCAGTAATGTTTGAAAAAAATTCATTAGAACCCACAGATATAGACGAATGATTGACATATACTCCATGAACTTTTGAGATATCTATGATTTCACTTGATTGTAAAATAGAATGGAACTCACGTCAAAGTTCTTTTTTAAATATAGTTTTATCAGTTCAACTTGTGTTTTTTTGTTTTATTATTATTATTATTATTATTCAATGAACACAACGCACATCATCTTTGGCGTAGTAAAACAAGAAAACAAAAAAGAAAAACACAAGAAAAAAAGTACATACATATATGTAGACATGCACGAATAAATTAAGCATTCATAAAGCTTACATTTTTTCTTGAAACAGTTTCTCTTGACGAGGATCGTTTTAAAATTGATTTGAGCGTTTGATTTGAATTATTATTTCCAGATGGAATACGTTCGTGAATCATTATTCCATCTTCTTTTCCACTTATTACTTCATTTTGATTTTCTTGATCATTGCTAGTAGTAATTGTAACTGGGATTTCCATATGAAATTCATTTTTATAACTTTCATTATTACTATTACTAGCAGATAACAATTGAGAAGAAGTTTCAGTTTGTTGTGATGCTGGATGAGAAGGCACTTGAATTTCATGTAAAACAGGTATATGAAAAAAATTATTTCTTGGTGTTATCCGAGAAGAAGATGGAATTGGTGGTGGTTTCTTTGCAGATGAAAGACGACTATCAAGTAAAACGGATTGATTATTTTTTAAATTTATAATAACACGACGAGATAAATTAGGTGATTTATTATTATTTTCCGATTTTGAACTATTTCGTTGTTGTTGAAGTCGTGCAATACCTTGTATAGCTTCACGAGCCATAGCTTCAGCTCGCCGTATAGGTGATATGTTTGAAGGTGTAAGAGTTGAATCAGATGATGATTGTTGAGAATTATTAATTGTTAATAATGTTGGGAGTGATAATGATTCATCTTCTATATCAGGTTTTTGACTTTCAACTGAATTTGTTTGTGATGATGAACGAATAATAGCACTTGACGTATTAGAATTATTTATAGGTATTGGAGTAATAGTTGCTGGTGGTGGAAGATGAATAGGAATTTGTCGAATAGGTGATGATGGAATTGTTGATTTTGCTGTGTCATCATCAGTATTTGTAGGTGTTGTTGTTGTTGTCATAATTGGTATTGTAAGACTTAAACGACGTGTAACAGAAGGTAAACGCGGTATACTTGATGATGATGATGATGATGATACTGGTGGTGGTTTATCAGTAGTATTATTAAAATGATGTTGAAAATATCTTGAACTTGGTCGTAAAAGATCTTTTAATAAAAATAATTTTTTCACATCTATTTTTGTTATTTTAATCAAAACTTACTAATAAAATTTGCTTTTGAATTTATACTTTCATTATTATTATTGTTATTATTATTATTATTATTTCCAGCAGGTGGTAATGTAGTTGTTTGACTGATGAAAGTAATCGGTACAGATCGACTATAATTATTTGGTGTAATAGGCGTACCATCTTCTCTAGTTATTGGTATCTGAATAAAATCACGCCTATTTGGTGCTATTGTTCGATTATTGGTAACAAGCGGAATGAATGTCGATTTAAAAGATCCATAAGAATTAATATTATTATTATTATTATTATTGCTCGTCGTCGTCGTTGTCACTGTCATTGTTGGTTTTGATGTAAGTTCATCTAAACTATTTCGTGTTAAAAATGAATCAGAATTATTTGTAGCAGTAGTTGGAACAATTCGCGAATAGTGATACCGTGGCATCAACTTTGATGTCGGAACTGGCCCACTTTCTTGATGATTTGTTGATTGGTTGGAAGAATTTATTATATTATGAGAAGAAGGACGACGAATAACATGGTAAAGCATCGACGACGACGAGCATCACAGGTGTCGATGATGATCCTCTGAAATCCTATATAATACGTATTAATGTTTGCCAACAAATGAATCGACGTGTTCGCGGATACACTTAAGCCAGTGGTAGTAAAAAGCAAAAAAAAACGAAAATTATGCTTCAATACGGAAGCTCTACAAAATTTTTCAATCAAAAAAAAAAAAAAAAGTTTTTTTTTTCTGTTCTCTCTTAATCATACTGCACATTTTTATTCGACATGGAAAACATACTTATAAAGATGAAAGAAGAAAGAAAAAAAAGAAACATTATACAATAACTTTTTCCTCAAGCTCATTTAATTTCGTCTCTCATATTCAACACCTTGGTGTTCTTCTCTTTTTATTCTTTAATTTTATTTGCTTGTACTTAACTATAAGTATATTTGATAAAAGAAAGTATCTATTTAATGATGTGAAAAAACAGATATTCAATGCATCTCCAAAAAAAGAACAGAAAACAAAACTAGCTTGCTACGTAAGATTATGCGTATATCACACCTATCTATCTACTAATACTACAAGCGAAGTATTTATTGTATAGAGTTTAATTAGAAGTAGATTATTTTTACCAGTATTATCATTCGCAAATATTATTACTGGCATCATGATATAACGTTTGATGCATAGTGATATTAAATAAAGTGCACACAGAATTTGACGATGTAAGAAAGAAAAAAAGACGAGAGTTTCGCATAAATAAGACAACATATATAGAAAATGAGTGGGAGCGTCTGCCTCTTTGATTATGCTATCGTTGTCTATGTATGTATAAGAAAAGCTTCTGCTTCTGATAGACTTTGCTCATACGACAATTGGCAATGGAGATTACCAAGGAAAAAGATAACAGAGAAAAGAAGAAGAAAAGTTGTTACTTATTATGTTGACGTACCAAAGTAGCAGCGGAGAAAAAGGATCTAGATCTTTTTCTAAACATGCGATCAAGGACAAAGACGCGCAAATGCTTGTCTTTGTGTATACATGGCCACAAAAATATCAACATTATTATAATGCATAAGAATACAGAAAGAAGAAAAAGAAGTCGAAGAAGCATTTTTGTCTGCTTTTGCGTTTATATATAAATACATACATATTATCACCTGTCAAAAAAGCGTCTTTAAAGAATATGAAAAATGATTTTATTTTCTTCTTCCGCACTTATTTAATGTTCATTCAATCTTTTTTCTATTCATTAATAGAATCATTTTCCGGTGTTTAAGTAACGTTTTCGTAGGAAAATATTCTAGTTTTGATTTATTTTTTTTTTGTTGATCAATGACACAAATATCAGAGAAAATTAATGTCTTTGTTATTGAACATCTGTTAATTATAAATTGTCTAGAAGACAGATCTTCGAGAAAGCAAAAGTAAAAGAACTACTAGTCTTGAAAAATCAACAACAACAACAACAACAAGACGATAATGGCGTCGATGTATTTCACCTTCAATATTAATGAACGAACTTGATGACGCAAACGAGACAAATATCCTACACAAAAGTTTGCTTATCTAACCTTGGTATATATGACAAATATATACGGATATAATCATCAATTTGGCTGAGAAAAAAAAATTGTGTCATCTTAATGACATCTGCAGGTATTTTGATTAATGCATATAGATTTTTGTGATGAAGACACATTAGAATGAATATATTATTTGAAATTTATTTTTCATTTAATTCGTTCAACTTTCAACAATAATTCCAAATTTTTTTTGTTTCAATTTTAAATTAGTATAGATTTGTAACTATTTGTTGTGCTAGGTTTAATTGTTGTTTTTCGTTGGTAATAAGATTAGTAATGAAGTCGAATATTTGATACAAGTACTATTTTAATTGAATAAGTTCTATCTATCAATTTACTTATTTTTAATGAATGATATCAAATAGAATCAATAAAAATCCAATAGTAGTCTAATGAATAATTAAAATAAAACATAATATTTCAAATATATTAAGTTTAAAAACAAGAATAAAAAGTCGATGAAGAGTTGAATGACACTGTCGACAGTAAGTTATTAATATAGATGAATACAAAACATTGTAGAGAATATAGAAGTATACTCTTAACAAGAATAAAATTGAAATATAAGTAATAATTACTGATTAGGAAAAATGTTTTCAATTCATCAGTTGCCTTCATCCGAGGCTTTACATGCACATTTCAATCCATGACATTGTTATTTGTCAACAATCAATAAATAGAAATAAAGTTATGAAGAAACTTATCCATTTTCATTGTTTATCTGACAAATCAAGGAGAAACAAACATTCACAAATAGCGTGACCTCTCAGTTCTTATCATCATATTTGAATACATACATATGTCGATAGAAAGCAAAAGAATCATCGCATATCATCTGACAAATGAAAACTCAAAGACAATGTAATAGACATAAACAAATATATGCTGAAGTTTTTTTCTCGACCCTCATAATTGAACACCTGATCTCGATTTCAGATAGAAAGCTAATCTTCAATAAATCATCAGCCATATATTGATAAAGTATATGTTAATAGGCAATTTCACTTTCATTTTCTACAAGAAAAAAAAAGGAAAGATAAAGTATACTATGACATTATGTCAAGTCAACCGACTCGCAAATCTTTACTGCAAGCTGGATATTAACCATAAGAAATTTTTTTGTATTCCAATAATAGATTTGGATAGGCTGTTAACCATTGATATTTATCATCATAGGAAAAAAGAAAGATTTTCTTAGTTACTAATACTCAAAACTATAAAAAGTCGAAGTTTCTTAATCGTTATAAAACATACGTATGAACTCGAATCATAATTAATTCGATTAGTTGATAATATAATTGGCCATATAAGTATTGTTACCAATAATGATTTAATTAATATTAAAACCAAAAGATTTCCATATTGAATGAATATGATAAACAAAAAAAAATAAAGTTCACTAAAAGTTGTTAAACATAACTAACTGTACATATGTACACATAATATAACTAAAAATAGTTTCATAATGAATACAAAAAGAATTATTATAATCAACACCTGTAAGATCATATACTAATACATAACGATCATTAAATAACAGAATTGAACTTATGAATTCAATACTTACACATGTTCGATATGCGACTGAACTTTATATTGAATACAATGAATATTTCAAGAGGCATGAATGTCTCTCTCTATATATAAAAATGATATTATTTATTATTTTTCTCAATGGCATATGAAAACGATATTTCCCTGTCTTCCAAATGACGAACAAAAAGTTAAATGACTTATCAGAAAAATGTTCGCATTTTAAAATGCAGAAAGTTATATTGATCTCATTTCTATTGCGTTTCCTCATTACAAACACTTTTTAAAGTATCAAATAACATCAGACTTAATTAAAAGGATATATTTATTCATTGTCTCTTCTCGATTGTCGACTTATTTTCTTAGTTGGAGAAAAATGTCCATAATGCAAAATGAATGGCGGGGAGTATAAAAGAAAACTATGACTACATCGTTGAAACGTGCCAAAATAGATATAGTAAGAGAATCAGTGTAGATAATTTGAATTAAGAAAGAATATTAGGATGTAGATGTCTAAGTCTTCTATTCAACAGCATCCATCCAGACCTACTTACACTCACATCCTGAAACTAAGAAATATTAGATATTCTAATATGTTTCATGAATGACTTTTTTTCTGTATTTTTTACAATTAATAAACTTTGTTGTGATTCAACTATACAGCCATTTTTTTCTCTTTCCTCCTATTATTTCGCTTTGCAAACATGTTTCCGTAATTGAACAAAAAACGTGTCTGCAATCTGGATATAGTCTTACTGATATTGTGTGGATGAGATTGTGGATCATTTCTCAACATTCTTTCTTGCACACGCTACATACCCTCACTAGGATATTACGGTTTGAACATTTTCTGGAAATCGGAAAGTAGAACTATGATTTGCAGTACTCAATTGCATAATTATATTATTTTTAAAGCAATGATATGAGAACAATATTTGAAAACACAGACATAGAAGACTGAACCGTCTTAATTTTTCAAGTCTTAATTCTTATAAGTAATTATGATAGTACACAATGTTCTATTCAGCTCTTTCAGTTTTTGATCCAATTAAGTTTGTGCCCATAGTGTCAAATACAATGTGTTCTTTTATCTTTATGCTTCTATCTCTATATCTTCAATAGAACAGAACTCCTAATTAGATCTTGGAATAACTGATTAATCGAAGTGTTCGAAATTTGGGACTACAATATGAATGAGGACAAAATAAGTTTCTGCATTGCAAATTGCCTGTTTCTCTACTAATTGACCTAAATTTTGTTTACATTTTGGACATAACAGAAGTCTTACATGTATATACTTAATGATAAATTATTGATGTTTATATTAATGAAAACTTGTTTTGAGATAAACAATTTTCTAGAAGGAAAATCATGATTTAACAGCCGAAATATCAGAATAAAAATTAATTTTCCTTTTAGACATATATGTGTATACTAAATGTTTCTGTTGCTGTAGCAGTAAAAACACGGATATTCTTTTTTTTTTTGAAATAAGACGAATGATTATGTTCATTAGGACTAATCAAACATGAAAGATTTCATTTTTTCATTGCATCATGTATGATAAATCAAATTCTTTTCATTTCACTGATCTGCAACAATATGCATGTTACTTATCGTCAACACATGATTATAATACTTACCAAATAGAGTATAAAGAGGACAAGTTAAGATCATCAAGATATACATTACTTCGACTAGATTGCTTAGAACTTTTAAATGACAACGTTAACAAAATTGATAAGTCATGTTCGGAACATATGTTACTTATATCATCTTTGAATAATTAGATTTTTTTTCTATCCATATCAATGATTCTGATGTTGAGCTTCGTGATTCTCTGGTCAAAATTCGCATGAAAGATGTCGTTTCCGATCGGAACATGGTTGGAACTTGAAAGCAGTATTATAATGAACGTGCCTGACGGTCGGCTCTAATTGATTTTTGCCATTTCCTTCTGAAAGTGGAAAAATCCATCGACTGAATCCAGACATGGTGTGCTTGTTTCTACCTTCTCACTATTATCCGGAAGTTTCTGAATGAAACTGGCCACCTATCTTTTCATCCAGATAATAAATAATAACATCTAATCAAAACAACTTTTTAAAATGACGTTGTCTCTTATTTATTTCTCAAAAACTTAAGAACAGAAAATAACTAATGATGATATATATTAGAAATTCAACATTTTCTACAATCAATGTTTATGAAAAATTTCCAAAGAAAAGTACTATAGTCATTTGTTTATTTTCCAAGCAGAAAGAATTATGCTTTTGAATAATAACACGCTCATTAATGTTTGAAAACATATTTTATGAAATTAGAGCGTCAATATGTGTGGAATTTTGATAGTGAGCAAGTTAAACTTTCTCTCATTGCCTAGATTAACAATTCTAACTCGCATAACTGTAGAAACTAAAGTACTCTTCATTCGCTTTGTTGTATAGACTTAAAATTTTCTTTGCTTTTATGTCATATTAGATCTTTTGAATCTTATCTAAATAGTATAGAAAACTTTTTAAACTTCATGTAATTTCTTTAATGTTTGCTGAAACACACTAAGAAATGTCTATCAAAAGTATCTTACCGTTCCAGCAACTTGCACTCAGATTTATATGACAAGTAGTTTTTGAATAAGTGACATGTTATAATGTTACTAGCATTACATGTGTCAATAATTAATCATAATTATTTTTCGTTAGACATGTGGCTTTTTGTTAATGTTCTGGAATCAAAACTGTTACACAGAGAAATGATAAGCTACTTAATCAACATCAAATGTTTGGAATCATCATATATCATGAAAATAAAATAAGTCCTTCATTTCTTTTGTTAAAATATAACATATGAGTTTAGAATATTGGACAAAAAATAACTCGTCAAATCAAAACACCGAATTCAGCTTATTAGCTATTTAAATATTTCCTTAGTTGTCATACAACTTCTCTGATTGATTAAACTGATTTTGTGTAAACAAACGATCTTCTTTGTTTTAATAAAAGTTTAGGTTTTGTAATACTACAAAGTATTTTTCTATATTTGATCGTATAAAAAATGTTTCTTGTCAAGACACTTTCTGAAATAAATAAATTTCTTTTATTGTTCAAAAGAAATTTCACAGGTTAGTCATCTATCAACACTTATGCACGATATACTGTCCGTTGATTATTTCAAAGCAAAGAAATCGACAAATGAGTTGTCATTGCTACAATTAATGTAGTGTCCGAACAAAAAAAAATGAATCTCAATAAATATATGAACAAATAGCACAAAAACAAAGACAGATGGCTGTTTTTATTTTTGATGGGCGCCAAAAATATTTCAATGCAGCAACTTTCAAGGATGCAGAAATGTCAATACGACCTACCTCGTAATGGTGTCGCAATATCATTAAAGATTCTTCTGTTATAACTTTGTTTCTGCCTTTTCGAGGTTAGAGTCCCCCATGTCATCTCGTATTCTTGTAAACGATGCTAACAATTCTTTTGTCTATAGTAAATCAACCACAACGTAAATATTTAGGTGTGAAGAAGTTATATGTTTGCTCTGTCGAGAATATCGATCTTTTAAATAACTAATTGTACGTGATGTTATATTACGCTTGGAAACTCTATTGAAATTTTGGTTGTAACAACACATTGATTGTCTTCGTGACTACTCATTTCTCGTCTTCAAAATAATTAACGAATAGTAAATCATGGTGTAATCTCTGTTAACAATGTGTGGAAGTAAGAAAAGCAGATACATCGTGTGATCTAATTAGATGTGTTTTTCATTATCTTTCTGATGAAATAAAAATGAAAAATTTCAAAACATTACAAATATTAGTGAAAAGAAAAACTAATAATCACTAATATTTCAACAAATCATTTTTGCTGCTCTGTTACTTTACTATATGTATAGTTTTATAAAAAGCATTCTAAAAAAGAAAAGAATTGACGACTCTTCAAAAACGTTAGGTTTGAGTGATATCAGATATAATTGATAGCTGAGATTGCAACAGCATTTTTTAATTCTGTAATAAAAGATATCGTGAGTATATAAATATTCTTATTAAAATTTAATTATATTTGGAAGTTTACTTAATAATGGAGATGTGTTTAGATTGTTACTGTATTTATAAACAAAGATAGCTTGACTTAGTTTATTTTGTTAAAAAGATTATATATTTCGACTCTGATTTTTTTATTTATGTCTCCCAGGTGGAGACATTGAATGATTGATGAAAATAAAATAGTTATTAGATGTATTGTTTTCTTTTGCATCGGAAAAATATTTTCGATGCATTATTTATCATCTTGAAGGTATGAGGGCATTGGACGACAGGGTGTCTCTTATAATTATGATACAGGAGCATAACGAGTAGTTGTAAGCTCTAATGAAATTGAATGTTAACTTTACCAAGCAGACAAACTTTTGGGAAAACACGTTTAAATGCACAAATATTGGCTTAAAATCGGCAAAAAAAGTGGACATTTTTGGCTCACACTCGTGGTTCCCGACTGTGAGCCAAAAACACCCATTTTTCGCCCTTTTTGTACGTTTAAACGCATTTTCACAAAAGTTTGTCTGCTTAGGTTAGTTGTCTAAATACTATAATTGATGGTATATGGCGCATAATCATTCTTGGTAAATTTTGGATCGGAATTATTTTATAACATGCTACTTATAGTGTTTAATGAGATTTTATTTTATGAACTGTTATTATCTTATTTATAAATCGTTGTTGCTATTGTAAAGTTTTCTTTACAAGAATTTTTTAAGAGTCATTCGTACATTCGAAACTCAATGGAGTTCTCATGTTAACTGTAACATATATTTATAAAATAAATTGTAACTTTTTTTTTTTGCATTAACCAAAACGTAGTTAATCGAATGCTTAACATCGTTACACTATCTGTGCAAAACTAAAGTCACTTTAAAATTTAATCTAATCGTAAGATACATATTCATTAAGAGGCCAATATTGAATATTATTGTATAAATAAACCCACGTATCGTCAATTTAAGTATTTCATTGATCAAATACTAATAGATTTTCACTTCTTTTCACCACAATAAAATATAAATGATAGGCATTATATGAACTTGAAACCATATATGAATAATATATCATTGGTCGAATATTTCAGTAAGTACTTTGTACTATCAAGAGCAAAAAGAAAAAGTTCACCACTAAATTATGCTTATTACAATTTCAAAATCAAAAAAAAAAGTAGTACATTTCTTATGAGGCATATTACAAAAATTGATGACATGAGAATATTGGATAGAGGGTAAATTTAGAATATTTCATGATTTTACCAAACATAAACTATTTTGATACAATATTCTTATTTCTTATTTTACATAATTATGTGCTCATAAGGGAATGATTACTTTTCATCATTTACGTTAGTAAGCGAATGTATAGAATTGCGTATGCGTATATTGTTGTTTAAATAAATTAAACATTTCTATCTATGATAATCTGTTACATTTTGTTATCGAATTTCCAAAGTTAAAATATAAACTATTCTATAGGTTTATCTGTTATTATATATGTTTAAAACTATGTTAGTTCATCTAAAATATAGCGTGTTCTGTATTTTGTTGCTCGTTATTGCCATCTATTGTCACACTTAAACATTGTTAATATATAAATTTCATAGTAAAATTCTTTTCTCATAATGAGTAATAAAAATTTTTTTTCTGAAATATTTTGACTTTATTGATATATAAATAATAATGATTCATTACATAGGTTTAATGTTCATAGTGATGATTCTTGATGAGAGAATTGAATTCATGGATTTCAATTATTGGCATTTGCCATGTTAACAATGGCATGCAAAAATGTTTATGCGATCATTCCTTTCCAGTAACTAACGTTACTATTTGTTTTGACTTCAATGTTTTTCCAAGTGTTTGCGTAATAAAACAAAAGAAAGTATCAGAAATAATTATCGACCAAGGTAACTCGGTTATATTTTCGTTCAAAGCTGAGTGAGATTTTTTTCTCTATATGTTTGAATAGTTTAGTTTTATATTAATAACTATTCTAATAAATTACATAAAAAATGGAAATGAAAAATTACATCAATGAAATAATCGAACTCGTTGATCATATTTTAGAGTAGAAAATCGCTGAAAATAACCAGTTTTCTCTCAGCATATGTCTTCACTATCAGATTGTTTCTTAATAAATAAAGGAGAAAAACGGTCAAAAACTTCCGACACAAATGTCTACACTCAATGGTTCATTAAATGTACCAGAAATCAATCATTCTATGTCTATATATTTATAAGTTGAATGATGTAATCTCTATTTGAAATGAATATGAATAAAAGTTATTCTTTAAGTATCTTTTTGATATATGTATACTGAATGAACCAATTCAAATATGGTTCATTGTTACTATTTTAAGGTTATATATTCATTTGTCAAAATAACTGACAACAAAATATATTTGTTATTTAAAAAATAAAATTATATTTAAACAAAAGCTTTATCCGATTGATGTCTATCTTCATATCTTCGTCGAGTAATTTCATTCATTTCAATAAGTAAATTTTCGTCATCATCAGCTGCATCTATTTGTTGTGGTCGATCAAATCGCGAATTATATTGTAAAGCACATTTACGATGACATAATTGATAACCACACATACGTTTATTTATTTGATAAATACGCTTTCGTGATTCAAAAGTCATATTTAAATCTATTGGATTTTTTTGTGGTCGTCGTACACTACGCATTGTAACAAGATCAGCTCGAGTCTGTTTTTGTAATGTTTCAGACGAAATTAGTACTGGTTCAATACCTTCAACCATTGACGAGACAATGGGTGTTGATTTTGATGGTACTAATGCGGTTTTATCTTTGTCTTCTGATGGTAGATTAACTAACTCTGGAGTTGTAGTAACAAGTAGACTAGATACAATAGCTACAGTCGGTGGAATAAGAATTTTATTTAGAGTATTATTTCGTCTAATTTCATCCATTGTTGATGAACGTTGAATAGTTGGCAATAGTTTTGGTCGTTTTCTTCGTAAACCTACAGCTGATTGTGCATGAATTTGTTTCCATGTTTCTTCTACAGCACGAGCATCTTCATCTTCTTGCTTTTGTTCTTCTTTTATTGGAATCGTAACAGGATTAGCTGATTGAACAACACGCGTTGATGATTTTGTTTGAAGTGGATAATCTGCCAGAAATTGACGGAATTTTGTATTAATATTTAAACGACGTTCTTCTTCTTTCGGTGGTATAACAAGACCTTGTTGACCAGCTATAATAGAATCTAAATTTCTTGCTTGATATTCATAATAAGCATCTCTTACACCAAAACGTTTTCGTTCATATTCTTGTAAGTTTTTTTTTAATTGTCGAACATAACTTTCTTTTTTCCATGTATATAATAATTCTTTATTTAATTTTTCTTTTAACTTATAATCTTGCATATCTTTAATTAAATCTACATAATATGAACGTTGACGTTCATTTAATTTTCCTTGCATTATTTTATTTTTTTGAAATGCGTGTAAAAGATTTGTTTGAAGAACACCATCATCCATTGTATGTTTCATTTTGATTGATAATATTTCTTTGTCAACGATTCGTTTATAATAGTTTGCTGATGATGGTCTTCACTTTTTGTTGTATGTATGTATATATGACATTGACTTCAAATGACATTAGCATAAATGTAAAATACATTTTTTCTTTTTTCTTTTTCTCTGCTTCTTGTTGTTTTAATGTAATGTTAGAGACACACAAACATGTCTTACAATTATATTACTGATCAATGAATAAGGTGAAACATTTCTTTTTTTCTTTGTTATTATGCTTAAGGAACAAAATGCTTGTACATTGTTATTGTAAAGTCGAAAGAGAAAAACACACACACATATATATATATATTTGGTTGAAAGCGGTTTTCTAGTTTTCTAGTTGATAGAAAAATCAAGGTCTAAAAAATAAATTATAGGGATGAAAGGAAAAATGAGATAAATAATGGTCAGAATACGTCTGCAAGATGTAAAAGAGAATTCTCAAATTAATTGGTTATTCTGTTTTAACATATATACTATACAATGATTGAAATAAACAACAAAGAGAATGAGAATAATTATATGAATTCTAAAATTTCATAATTATTCAAAGAATAAATGTTATTTCGTAGAAAATACATCGATAGAAGTCATCAGAATATAGTGATTCTATTGTTACCTTTATTTCATCAAACTAAGAAATGACATATCAAACATGAGACAGTCTTGCTCTGTCTTTCGCAGAGTTTTAGAAAATGTCTAGAAAAATCATTCTTGAGAAAAAACCCAGTGACTATTGTATTATACAAGAATATTGAGCTGTTGATTAAAAACTAGTATTTCTTATTATGCAAGAAACTAAAATGATAAGAGATACAATAATCGATTCTTCTGCTTCATGGTAAGATTAATTCTAATCATTGCATTACAAGTTTTTTAATCAAATGATGTATCAATAGTAACTTTGAATCGATTGATAAAACTGTTCGATAAGACAGACTTTATTGTTCAATATGAATTCCTAGCTCGAAAAACTTGAATTGACTTAATTTTATGTTGGATAAAGCAAGAAAAAGAAATCAGATCATTGACTGACTGAACAATTTTTTTCATTTCAAGAGATCAGCGTACAACACATTTTGAATTATAATATGAGATGGAAAACATTTGTAATACGAATTATATGGAAACTCATGTTCATACAAAAAGTAAGCAGAATATTGATTGTTTTGAAATACGGTATAAAAACGTTCAAAAATGAATGTTAATCGAAGTGTTGTTTTCTGGTAAAAAAATTTTTCATATATGATAAGCTGTTAAACAAGTGCTGATCGTCATTCAATTGATATATAATAACATATAACTTATGTGTATAGATTCATCCGATAAGAAAGAAATGATTCTAATTAAAAAAATTTTGAATGAAAGAAAGATATGTGTTGTAGAGCGTACTACCAACTTCGACATCTCTTTTCGTGTAATGTTTTTGTTATTGGAAGATAATATGTACATTGGCCAAGAAACTTATATTGTTGTAGAACAGAAAGCTGTCTCATTATCTTGTTAGTCAACGAATGATTTTTCTAAGAACTTTCGAAAATCTTAAAAAAGACATAATACAGGTGCCTCATTCTTTATATATCGTCTGTTATAAGTATTGATCTTTAAATTGCTGCATTATGAATGATCGTCAGTTTAAGTTAACTGTATTGATATGTGTTCACATAAATCAACTTAACATTGTTCTTTTTACTTGAAAAATAACGAGTTCTTTTTTTTATGAAGTTCATTTGATTTCATATAGTACTTGATGTGAATATCGACAGAGATTGTTCCAGATTTGAAGAGTTTGTTTTCAATTAATAAAAATATTAATAATAATCAATCTCGGAAATCCTCGTATTCAATTTTCAACAATCATAATTCAATATCTTATTTCTCGGTACAAATCAATCATAGAATTTCATGAAAAATATATGCAATCGTTCATTTTATATATATATGTAATAAATCTTAAATAAATAAAGATGACTAATATGCATAAGTTTCTCAAAAAAGAAAAAACATGTCAAGTATTCATAAGAAACAATCATTATATATGTGAAAATAATTAACTGTAAAAAAAGACAAATTAGTGAATAAGATTAATATATATAAATTGTCAATTATAATTTATTTTACGTATTTTTGTTTGTTTTTTTTTTCAAATAAAAGTACTCTTGAATAAATTATTTTGATTTCAAGGCTATAGAAAACATCATTAGTTCATTCACTTTTTTTGCGGGCCATCATTGTCGCTTCGTTAACGTGTATATAATAAATAGTTCTCGTGCCGGATGTATGTTTGTCGATGTCGTCCGTTTGAACCCTACGGCAATAAAAACCATCAATAGTTTCTTTTTCTTTTGGTATACAAGGCAGGTTTTTTCTTTGTAATCAATAGTTGTCTATACTCCTACTTAGTCAACTTGTCAAATAGTATTTTCTAATCACCGCATGCTGTTTAATAACTATATACTTGTATTTATTTCGCATGTATGCTCATTTGCTTGCATTCGATCTTACAGTTCTTTGAGTGTATGGTGATCATTAACAAGTAAAAAGACAACATGAATCTTCTTTTCTTCTTTTTTTTCAATAATATAAACTAGTAAGATGAGTCGACTAGCAAGCATGAAAGCGAGCACAATAACAAATCGTATGAGAAACCGAAAGAAATGCAATCAAGTAGAAAAAAAAGACGATGATGATAGAAAAGAGTGAGGAAAGGAGAAACCACTTCTCAAAAAAGGAAATATCATCATCACATCATCAGAAATAAGAACTCGATCTACATAACTATTAGGAAGATAAAGATAAACTGAATTATCAGCAGTGTGAAAGGGGAAGAGAAGAACAAGAACAAGAATTCGAAAGAATGATGACAGTATAATATTAATATAAATAGTTAACTAGGTAATAGAAAAGTATTGTTTAGTCTTTTTATTATATCATATATCCGGCTATTCTTAATGTGAATGTCTAGGTGCATAATTGTACATAAGTAAAGGTGCTTAAAGGAAAATGATAGAGAATAAGAAACTAAGTCTCTTGTTATTTGTTCTTACAAAGCGGAAGAACCACTCTCATTTAGTTCCGCTTTTTTTCATCCGTTCTTTTTGTAACTACTGTTATCGCTATTGCTACCGCTATAGCACAGAGTTTTCTCCCTCTCTCTCTCTCTACCATTTTTCATCACGCAAGCAAACACATAGATATTGAAATAGTTGACAGTTTTTTTCATGATACTCAACACTTTTCCCGTTTGCTCTCTTTCTCTCTCTATCCCTTTTTCTGCCTGTCAAAATTTAGACGCATAAAATAATTGTAGGTTTGGAATTAACTGAGTTCATGTCAAGTTTTGTAAGATTTTAAAACCTAAAAAGGGGAAAAAAAGCGTCTTCCTTTTATTTTAGAATATATTATCAATATTGATTAAAATCATCAATAAATTCCTCTCTAGAGATATTTAATTAAAAATAAAGTTTTCCATTTATTCAATTTCTCTTTTCGCTTATCAATCAATCTATCTTCGACGTTGCGACGCATTGTCAATGTGCACTCGTCAACGCGAATATCAATGTATAACAAGTGTTCTTGTACTTGTGTATTACTTGAAGAACGACTAAGATTAAGACAAGTAACATCATCACCATTACTCTCTAATCATATTATTCCATTACAACTAACCCAACTATCGTATCATATTATCGTTATCATTGGCAGTTGCTATCAACATAAAATTGAAGTCAAGCATCGATGCAATTGTCGTCTGATGATTCTCCGTCGAGTGTTTCAACGACAAGCGTCGACTGACGGTATGCTTGTCAATATCAATAATCATGTTTCTTCGAATAATATTCATTTTAATCATGTTTACTTTTAATTTTTCCTTATCCTTTTCCACATCCACTGATCCACTTATACGTTCAACAAATTCTGGTCGTGTCCGTGGTTTTGACTCATATTTTCGTACATCTGATTCACCACGTCTTTATCATGTTCGTGCTTGGCTTGGCATTCCATTTGCTAAACCACCTATTGGTTCACGTCGTTTCAAAGCTCCAGAACGTGTTGAACCATGGCCAGATATACTTAATACAACACATTTTCCAGCAACTTGTTGGCAAACAGAACAAATCGTTTATAATCTTGAAGCAGAAAAAATTTGGTCACCAATTACAAAATGTAGTGAAGATTGTTTATATTTAAATATATGGGTACCTGTTAGTAATTCTCAATCAACACAACCAATGGCTGTACTTGTTTGGATTTATGGTGGAGCTTTTGTAACTGGTTCAAGCGCAATAGATCTTTATGATGGAAGAATATTAGCAGCAACAAATAATGTTATTGTTGTTTCTATGCAATATCGTTTGCAAAGTTTTGGATTTTTATTTCTTGATAGACCAGATGCACCTGGTAACAGAAATTTCATATAAACAAAATAATTTGAATTTATGTTTCTTTTTATAGGTAATCAAGGTTTATATGATCAAGCTCTTGCTTTAGAATGGATACATCATAATATAGGTTATTTTGATGGTGATAGTCGACGAATAACTTTATTTGGTGAATCAGCTGGTGCTGTATCTGTTGGTTTTCATTTATTATCACCCCGTAGTCGATCTTTATTTTCAAGTGCTATTTTACAGAGTGGAGGGCCAACATCTAATTGGGCATACATAACAGCTCAAGAGGGACGTAGACGATCGCATAAATATTTAAATGAATTTTATTCACTAGTAACAAAACGCTTATCAAATGAACAATATAGTGATGAACGTGGAAAAATTCCTGAAATTTGTCAACGAGGATCAAATGTTGATGATATTGAAGTAATGTTTGAATGTGCAAGAAATTATCCAATTATCGATGAAGAGCATTATGCTTATATAACAAATGCTGAATATACTATTCAAGATGGTGGTCCGATGTTTTTTCTTCTTATGCCTGTTATTGATGGAACATTTTTACCTCAAAATCCAGTAACAATG